TATAGAAATGCTCAGACAAAGCTGTATTTGAAGACATGAAAAGTAAGCAGAAGCTTGCATCAATTCCTGGGTTTTCTTGAAGATCATGATTTGAAGAACATCTGTCAACAAGAAAACAATGCATGAGGCTGTAAATAAGAAAAGAGTTTATTTGGGCTCTTAAGAATTTGCAGTTTGGGAGGCAGTTTTAGGTAACTCTGAATGACTGTCTCTCGGAAGAGAAAGAGTCAGGGGCCTAGAAAGACAAAAAGCCATGAAGTTAAAAGTTGCTTCACAAGAGCTGAGATGGACCCTGATGCAAGTCAGAAAATACCTGTCTGTGAGGCATATATTTTAGGGTAGATTCTGATAAATAGTTCAGCTGTCAAAGGGTCCAATGAGCATCCTGAGTAACTAGCAGATGTTCTGGATGACCTCATCAGGTCCAAAGGTCAGATTCTATCCAGGCTGAGACATGCATAACTCACCCTTCCTCAGTGGCCTCCTGGTTCTATGTTAGAGCTCTCTTGTAGCAATACCATGAAGAGTTTGGCTTTCCTTCCAAATATGAAATGCAGAAAATGCTAATACACTGAGAATGTTCGTTGTTTGGATATTGGAGTCCTCGGAAAGTGGATCCTCACTCCTGGAAAGTGAAACATTGTTGGTGATGATCAGCAGTGTCACCAAGGCTTGTGTGATTTCCAGGAGGAAATAAAGACAGGTCGGTGACAGAGTTGAAGGAGTTCACTTGCTGTGCAAGGAAGCAGATGTCAGCTTGCTTTATGGTGTGTAGGCAGGGTGGAGCAGGGGTGCGCCTGGAGGGAGCAGTTAGTATAGTCATTCTGGAGACGAGGGGACCTGGGAGTCGGGTGGTGGCTCTCGACAGGCGGAGTAGATGGCTCTATGGTCAGGCTTCTTAAGATGACTGTCCTCCTGTCTGTACACCCCCTGCTTGACCAGTGTCTGCTTCACCTATACCCTACTGGTTTGACTGACCTTCCTACATACTCACCCCAGGTTCAGCAAATGATTGTTCTAACGTAGAATGTTCCTCTCTGCTTATCAAAGGGGCAGTGAGGGCTGTGCTTCTCTGCTGTTTTCCTTGTTAACTGATGAACCAACCTGAGGTCCATTACTTTTATAACCTCTGCTTGGTTTGGGGAGTGAAGACCGCTGCCCTGTCCTGCCCCACCGTTGGTTGTACATGGCAGGGTGTT